GGGACTTCATGCGCTGTGATGGAGCTGGACGATACCAGGCCGGGAAAAAGGAAACTCGGTAATAATGCCTCTACCGGGGATCGAACCTGGAACCTTGCCCATGGTAGGAGACGTGGACGGTCCCGGCGAACTGGCTGCGGGGATCTCCAGCGTTGTCAGTAGCAGTAGTAGTGCCAGTACATGCTCGTCGCCGATGGCCTTGTGTGAGGAGGACAAGTATGTGAAACGGCTGCGAACTGGAGAGGCGCCCGAGAGCGCGCATAGGAATCCTTACGAGGTACGGAATGAATTTCGTGGCGCGGTGAAATAGTTTTAGTTTTACACAGAAGAAGTTTCTTTCATGATGTTGCCTGAGGGTTGGGATCATCGTGCTCAGTCTCAGCACATCTGCTCGGCTCGCGAACAAGTAGTTGTTGGAATATTTCGTTGAACGATAATAGTTGAGATATTCACTCCGATGCGCTTGGACGTTTTGTGTAGGATTTCCCCACTATAAACGGTTGGTTTTAGGTAATAAATGCTATGCTTCGCTCCGCTAACATCGATAAGCAGCGCAGAGCTGAAGAGGCGGCCAGAAGTGAGAAGCTGCGAGTAGAGCAGTACTGGGCACAACAAAATCGATGGCTCCAGCAAAACTCGAGTCGTCCCCGGTAGAGCCTCGAATAGTGAGGTTGGAGTCCCGTATCATCTTCCTTGTACGTCTTGCACACACTCGCAGCTTCTAAGCGTGTACGATAGTATTTAATTGTATGCAACATAGGTGGAGATTATGACCAAATATAGTGGCGTCTTTCGAAACGATAAACTATCTTATATCATGCGTTGCTTGTGTTCTCTCAATATGGGAGAGGGCATGACCAATGGCAAGCCGCTGGGAAATCATACTATCGAGCTTGTCGCATTTATTCGGCATGCTGAATCTGATAGCTATGACTCTATGGGAGTCGGCACTTTCTAGTCACTATCGAATGGTGTTGCTCATCATTGATGAGTCATCAACACTGTGAATTTTTGTGTGGTCCTGCTGGCCCAATGGATGAGGCGCTACTCTGCCAATATGGGGACTTCGGGTTTGACCCTCGGACGGGGTAGTTTCACATTGCATCCCGTTCCGGTGGTTCTCTTCCGGTCAGTTTGGCTTTGTCTGGAGTTTAGATGTTGTTACCTTCTTTTCTTCGTATGGCGGTCAGGAGTCCCTTGCCTCACATCATACCGACTGCGTTGTCTCAAGTGCATGTGGTAGCCAAACCCGAGTTACCACTAGCTGTGTTTTGCCGTCGAGATCGTGGTGCAAGGTTCAAAACTATTAGGCGGTGGGGCGCGAGAACAGAAGCGTTCAAGCGAATGATGTTATCTCATCTGGCGTCATTATAGACAACTGAAGCGGAAAGCGAAGGAACGACAGCTAGAGTCGACGGAAGGACGCAGCCAATTCACACGTACGTTGTGAGTGTGATTAG